GGGGGGGGGGGGCCCCCCCCCCCCCCCATGGAGCGCTCACTGGCGGAGGCGTCAAACCTGGCAGCGCCGTCACATGCATGATTCACATCCACACACACAAAAGCCTGTATGCGCTCACGCTCACGCTCACACACACACACACACACACACTGAGACAGATGTAAACAGCATGTCTCCAGAGCAGAGGTTGTAACGTATAGATGGCAGCGGTAAAAGTGAGGCGGCAGCCGACGCAGCTTTTCGTCACAAACTGAAGGCCGGATCAAAGTGAACATCTCGAATATTTATAGATGACAAGAAACGAGCGCGGAGGAGCGAACGGCGATGAAAAGAAAACCAAATGACTGCAACTGACAGAAACTTTAAAAAATGTGACATCTGAGCGTAGACTGCTTTTCAAGCCGTCCGCACAAAATGTTTTCAAGAGTCTGTGTTTGAAGCGCTCCACTCCGTTCTCTTACCAACACAAAGAGCTCCAGGCTGGAGAGGTATGATAAGAGATAGCAATCCTTCCGAGGTAATATGGGTTCATACGCTTGGATTCTGTGCCATGAACAAGGCCATAACTCTTGTTCTGTTTGTTTGAAACAGTGACTCTGTAAAGTTGATCAAGGGTGTGTTAACGTTGTTATCATCACCACAGGACCTCGTCTGTTTGACGTGGAGAACAGCAGCAGCCGCAGGTAAAAGCCTTGAAAGGTCACAGAAGCAAACAGCGATACCTTTTCAAAAGGCTGACCTAATTAATGCTGGACATAAAAAAACAATTACTTCCCAAAAAATGTTTTATTTTATTGCTTCACACTGAAGTCGCGGCTGGGTTTCTTCTTTATTCTGAAGTTCACGGTCATCACTGTGTTTGTTAAACCACGTTTAGACATGTATTCCCTCTGTTGTAAATGTGTTTTCTGACATTTTGGAAGACTAAATAAGCCTAAAGAAAGAAACATACCTAAATCATCTTTCATTTCTCGTGGCATTTTTAAAGTTCAAAGGCAATTCTCCTGACAGATGGATGGAATCAGAGCATGGAGTAGAGTATATACTCAAGGGGTGACATTAAAAAGCAACGTGTGTGTGTGAAGGTAAGGGAGAGCATTGGGGAAGGAGTGTGAGAGGTGAGGTGTGTGTGTGTGTGTGAGAGGGAGGGAGTGAGTGAGTGAGTGAAAGAGAGAGAGACAATATGAGAGCAAGAGACAAAGAATGAATGCAAGGGAGAGACAGACTTCAACAAAGACATCCAGGCAGGATGTGATCGAAGGTCTTTCTGTGTTTTGACACAAGTTAAGAAGACAACCGTCATTATTATGAGCATTATTATATTATGAGGTCGTTATTATCGCAGCTAAACCTGTCATCTTTAACATGTGTTGTTGTTTTACAGACGGGCTGTTGAATGAATAATTCACGCATTCAGCCTTCCTGTATCTGCCTCCAGAGCCACTTTGTAAATTGTTTATCTTGTTGACGTCTACCTGTCAGTGGTTACTGTTTGTTATCAGGACCGTGTGTAGATTCACACCCTCTGCGGTAGCATTTTCAAAACTGACAGAAATAAAAACTTTGTTCAATGTACTTAGATCATTACACAGAAAGTACAGAAAACTAACTTTCGTGCCAATATTTCAAGAATAGTTTTAATGTAATAAACCAAAAACAAAAGAGGGAAATGAACACTTTGAACCGCTGACGCTCTGGACGATATATTGCACATATTAACCAAAGAGTGGTCGATATGAGATGACGCAAAGCCAATACGTGGTGGCAGACAAACTAAGTACGTGAGAAAGATCACGAGAGACGGCAGCGTGAGAAAGGAGGGTAAACAGACGCAGGCGGGTTTGTATGTTTGGGAATCGAACGTTTAGGCTCAGAGAGCGAGCAGTGGCAGGGTGTGACGCTCGGGAGTGTTTTCTGCAGAGCCCGAGCAAACTGCTCCGCCAATTACTTTCAACTTCATCTTGGTACTGTCCTAGAGGCAGGAGCCTGATCCTCCTTCAAGTCCTGCCCCGCGTGTTGCCCTCTCGCCAGAGAGACTTCACCATCACTTGTATCCTGATCGGTTTGTGAGGAGGTGCACTGTGCGTGAGGAGGTGCACTGTGCGTGAGGAGGTGCACTGTGCGTGAGCAGCGCAGCGGTGTACACAAACACGGTATTCTTGTAAACATCATGGAAAACAGCTTTTTCTTTTTTCCTCTGTCTTTTCCAAAACAACAAATCGGACAATTAATTACAGCTCTTGGTCTCGACTTGAGCTCCGTGGGGCCGACTGCTCGGCAGCTCCCTGTTGTGACAATGCTGGGTTTGTATGGCATCCCAAATAACAAGCACTAATATGTGAGGCTTTGGGGGTTGTCAGGAAGCCTTTCCGTGAGGTGCAAGATTAAACAGAGGCACTGAACGGGGAATCCTGCTGCATTGTTGTTCTTACCGAGGAGATGCAGCAGCACGTTTCAGTATTACGGTAAGAAACGGCAAGAACAGAGGTTGGACTTTAACAATGTTTTCAATCGGCACATGTAGAGAACTACACAGAGAATCATTTAGAGAATGGCCTGATGTGCTTCGCCGGACTAAGAATGAATGTAGACGCTGCATCACACTCAAAGCTGTCTGTGAGGGTTCTGGTACATAAACACAAATATGGCAGAGAGAAGGAACATCACGAAGAAAACACTGCGCCAAACATCTAAGGTGGGCGTCAGAACCTGCTGTTTACCAGGGAAGACTAAATCAATTGCCCTGCCCACTGCGCCAAGTACTGCGTCTGACTTTGGGCAGCAGCAGCAGGTCTGACGGGGTTCGGTAAACTGAAATCTCTGTGAAGTCCGAAACTTTTGACCGACAGGATCCCGGGGATTTTTTCCTCAGCTGAGCGACATGTCTTTGCATAACAGCTGTCGAATATGAACATGCACTTTGTCGTGTTTGATTTGTGTTCTTGGTGTCTGAGTGGTGGAGCGCCCATCGGATGCTTTTTCATTTATAACATTTAAGGTTAACTCCAATACATAATCCCTAACTAGGACCACGATATGCATCTGAAGCTACTCCACTTATTTCTACTTTGCTAAACAACAACAGACCTCAGAACTCAGACAGAATGTCACCATGTGAAGTCAAACCCTTTGGACATCTTTATCATTACGCTGCAGAGGCACTTTGTCACAGCTTTGAAATGCCACAAATATTAATTCCCAATTAACTGTGGTTAATTAAAATAAAAGGGACTACTTCCCTACTTTACTTTTGCCAGCTCAGAGCAGCCTATCTGCTGACAGGAGGAGATCAGCGGAGGGTCCTGAGTGGACGCTGGCTCTGTTGTCAAGTGATTAGGGACGTTCCCTTCATGCACAGGGATCTCTGTAGGACAACACAACCACCACGACACAAACGTGCTACTTTATCAGATAAACTGAAACAAGTGCAGTTTTGCAACTTCTCAGATATGCGGACTTAACTGTGCTTTGAGTGACGAGCACGATTACAAGGTTACCTGGATTTCCAGTATCGACTTCTAACAAATACCAAGATCACAACCAGGAACATGTCAGTTCATTCCATGTCACCAGCTCCACGGCGGACAACTTTGGTTTCGTTACAGGCTGCTGTCAGCGCGCAGGAACACATCATCCAACCACACACACACTTGTGGTCGATGAACTAGAGCGTGTTTATAGTCTATTTCATACAAACTGTCACTTTAAACAACACACTATGATGCGTAAACACAACCACCACCTATCATCTCTCCAGAATTATTATCCGCGTGTCGCCTTTTTAAACTTCGACACATCAACATGAAGTCACACTTTTGTTTTTGATGTTTTGTGCTCACACCAGTTTGATGGCAACTCTTAACATTTCTTCCATAAGAATGTATCAACACAATACGGGAGGATGAGCTGGATAACGCGTCAGAACGAGGTGCGACACAAACAACCACGACAAGTTTCGGAGGAGGAACACTTAGCACTTAGCGAGAGACTGTCAATCAATGCGATTGTTTTAGCTGCTTTAAATAAGAAAACAGAGTTTTCTTCATTTCATGTAGTTTGTCATGTTGGGGTTCGTCCACATTTCGTTCGTTAAACATTTTGCATGCGTAACAATACTCGCGGCTGCAACAGTTACTTAACAGTTGACGTTACACTTAATTAAAATAAAATAAAACGTGTTGTACCCTGTCGGTTGGACGTTTCCATTACTTTCTCCGAATGACTCGTCGGCCTCCGCCTCCGACCCGGTCTCGTCATCCTCCACGGTAACGTCTGCTACAATGACCGGAGAGGAGACGACGTTCCCCAAGCCGCACTCCATGACTCTTCGTCTTGCACCATCTTCCCCCTCCGAGGTCGACCCTGAACCCCCGATGGCTGAGCCTTGGTGAGCGTGCGTGGTTCCGAATCCAGTGAGCGCTTTCAGCAACAGCAGGAGCACCAGGGAAATGCTCACGTTTCCAAAGTGAAGCCCCCTTTCCATTTGTAAGACTGGCACATTAGTGAAGTATGAGATTTACATGCCACTAGCTAGGTCTTGTAAATCTTAACATAAAAAAAGTTAAAGTGCACCAAAAAAACAACAACTGTGGAACTACAAAATGAAATCCCGTAGTGTCTTGTAAAACGCCCTTTCAAATCTGTTCTTTAAGTAAACATAAACAGCCACTGGGACACCATGTTATTCCCTTTATACTTGACTCAAGACATGCCTTGGTAACGCTAAGCCCCGCCTTGTTTCTACACTGGGATTGGACGGTCAAATCCCAACATTCGTTAAAATGTCATCCGGCCGTTTCTCATTGGGCCGTTCGCTGTCAATCACGCTACTCGCATACTAAACAGAATACGATTGCAACAGAGACCTGTCACTCAAGAAGGCGGGCTCAGAATGTTCCAGCCCCCCAAACAGTGCGTTTTATTGGCTAATCCGATGTTTGTCAAAACAGCGCATGCGCACTTGGGCAGCTGGCACACAACGGGAGCAAAAGGTGACGCAAAAAAATCCCCGGTGGCGAATCCTGTGGCGGGTATATGATTGGCTGGGATGTGCCGTCGTCCGTCCAATGAGAGAGACGAAGCTGTCACAGCAACAACGCTATTGGTCGATTTTCGCCCTCGCGGACTAAACGTAAGCACGACATTGGATAGTTCAGCTGTCAATCAAGAGTAGTTGTCAGGACAGCCGACAAGAAAGCTTCAACGTGGCTTCACTGTAGAGCTGCATTTCCTGTTCCTGATCACGAGTTTTTTGTTAATGCAAACAAACAGGAAAGGGCTATGACAATGTACGTCATTGAATTTAGTTTTTAAAAACGGAAACTTAAATAAAACTCAATGGCTGCCACGAAGCTTTCAAGTTCCTAAATTATGTTTTCATAAATGTACATGACAGCTACTGTAGGACACATCAGCATGTGTAGCTGCAGAGTTAGCTGCTCAATGTATATAGTTAGTATATCTCTGAATAATGAGTGGTATTAAGGTCAGATTGTGAACCCAGTAGAACTAGCAGAATAACAGCGCCCCCTGGTGACCATAGAGGAGAATGGCACCATCAAGGTTTTGTTTTTCCCTCATCGTAAAAACTATGTACTTACACAGCAAGGTCTGTTCCATAAAAAATACACACACCAAAAAAAAAAAAACTGACTTACATCGACTGCAACTAACAATTATCTACATCGTCAATTACTTTGGTGATTGTTTTATTGATAAATGGATTAGGAAAGTAGCCCAAATTGGAGTAAATAATTGCTTGTTTTGTCCAAAAGTCAATATTTTGTTTATTATCATACAAGATAACGCAAATATTCACATCTGGAAAACTAAAACCAGTCAATGATAGGGTAATGACAGAATGCCAAAAATTAAGTGTTTACCAAATTCTCAGTAATAAAAAGAAACATTAGGCATACTGTTATCACGGTTCTGTATTGGTTGACAAAGAAAATAGTACCGTCACAGCAAAATGATAATCACAGTCAATTGGTAAAGAAAGTAATAACAGAACTGCTGGTGCACGAAAACATGGTGTACAACCAGTCAACTTTCACGTCGTCTACGTACACGTCACCTGCTTCCATTTGATTTACAAGAGAAGAATTAAGACTTTAATACAACATAACAACAGTGGCTTGTAGACAGATTTGCTTGCAAATACAAAAACATAGAAAAACAGCAGCAGGGTGTAAGGCACCGTGAGCCAAAAGCAGAGTGAACAGCTGCATTCCAGAATGAAAGATATCTGAAATATGGTGGTCGTTTCTCTTTCAAGAGCCGCTCACAACCTCAAGGATTCCTCTGGTTCCAACAACATGACCAGCTACATAATGAAGTTATGTCGCTTCATCGGAATAAAACGGGGCGCTGCCGAGGCACATAGAGCGTACTGATGTTGCTGTTGGTTCAGATCTCAGCTCCATCAGTTCACCATCAACTGGGACCATTTCACAGCACACTTGGCCATCATCATCTGCTCAAAACGGTCTCTTTATAGCTATATCTAAAATTAAGGTGATGGCAACAAGTCTGTGTGAGAGCTTCTGTAAGGAATAAGATATTCTACTACAAAGTAACCTACAGGCACGATGGCGAGCCAACACAGTGGAGGGAGGTACATGCATGAAGGAACACAGTCAGTGGTTTGGATGAGGACTTTTAACTCTGTCCACGGACTAGTTTAACACAACAGAAAACCCAAACTGTCTTCACTCAGGAAACCAGATTATTGGTCCATCATATGCTCAAATTGAACAGCTGAGGAGAGGAACTCCCGTATCGTGACGCACATTTAAACATATATCCGATAAGTTCCTTTCAGGAGTCTCACGCGGCACAACGTACACGTTACATTATACTCGTCTCACCGGCACAGTCGTCCACAGCGCTTCGACAAGTGTAACTCCTAGTAAAGAGGATGCAAAGTTGTCGGCAAGTGTGGCTGAACGCTTTGGATGATGAAAAACAAAATGAGTATGATGTCACTAAATTGTAGTAAAATGATCCACTGAGAGAAGCAGGAGCTTCAGTCACACTGAGGCACAGAAGGAGCGGAGCTGCCACACACTGAAACATCACATTTCAGATGAAACAGGAAGTGCACGCTCTTACAACGACTTCACCTCGTTCTCTAGTTTGGCGGTTCTGAACCCATTCTTGGTAACTTTCTACTGTGTGAGGACCAGTTTTGGTTTTTCTGTTGAAACGTTTAAAAGCCTAAATCATCTACAGGATATTCATTACAGCCCACCTCTGTGCTATACGGTATGTGGGCGACACTGGATTATTGTCACACGATAATCAAATAATGGAGTTTTCATACATGCACCACAGGGTTTCCCTTAATTGTCAAATATCTCATTAATTGTTTTGCTTTTTATTCAGTTTAAATTAGCATATTAATTCAAGAAATTAATTTCTTGGTAAGCATCATTTCTTGATGGTGCAGCAGACTTCATGTTACTCTGTGGTCTCATGGCAGCAGCCCAGCAGAGGCCCAAAGTCTGACAAATGATTGTGAGCTTTTAAATGTACCTTTAATTGCATCATTTCTCTAAATAGGACTTCAAATATAATCTCAAGGCACTCCTTAGTTTCATTCTGCACACATTCAGTCAAACCCGCTTATTACAGGAAGAGCCAACGTTCCCAGTGGGACCAAGCACCTAAACTGAGCAACTGCAACTATATCTATCTATCTATCTCTCTCTATATATCTATCTCTATCTATCTATCCATCTCTATCTATCCATCTCTATCTATCCATCTCTATCTATCCATCTCTATATATCCATCTCTATCTATCCATCTCTATACATCTATCTATCCATCTCTATATATCTATCTATCCATCTCTATATATCTATCTATCCATCTCTATATATCCATCTATCCATCTCTATATATCTATCTATCCATCTCTATATCTCTATATATCTCTCTATATATATATATATATATATATATGAGATGCACTTGGCTTTACTCATCAGGCACTTTAAAACTCACAGCGTCACAAGCACCACCTGCAGGATGAGAAAAACCAAGTGATCCTCAATAGTTTGCTTTGAGGTGTGTGAACAGTTTTTGTCCGAACACGGTCGGGTGGAAATCACGAACACGGCACTTGTGGGGCAAAGTGAGGTCATTGAAGAGGAAGTGGCTGCAGTGAACATGACGGACTCCTTAGTTGACGGGAGGATCTCGAACCTGCACGCTGCCATCCGCCATCCCGAAGTAGGCCCGTTCAGCCATGCCGACGAAAAGCCCCGTCTCCACCACGCCTGAAGAGGACACGCACACAAACACACAAATCCAGTTTAGAAGGCTGATCACCAATGTTTTAAATTACAAGCACATTATACACACAACCAACATTTCTCGGAGGTTAGAACCAGGCGGCAACCTCCGGTTCTGCCGAATGAAGCCGATGAGGAGGTGTCTTAAATCTGAATTCTCTCTAATGTCCACCAGGGGGCGACTCCTCTGGTTGTATAGAAGTCTATGAGAAAATGACTCTACTTCTCTCTTGATTTATTCCCTCAGTAAACATTGTAAACATGAGTTTATGGTCTCAATCTCTAGTTTCAAGTCTTCTTCAATACAGCATGATGTTCATTTAGTACATTATGGTCCATTTAGAGTCACACAGACCATAAAGCAGGGGATGCTTTAGGGCGGAGCTACACAGTGATTGACAGGTCTCAAAAGTTTTAACTTCCGCATCGGTTGCAAAAACATGGCGACTGCCGTAATCCAAGATGGCAAAGACGAAATCACCGAAGTGGATGCTTGATAACGGCAGTCCACAAACCAATGCGTGACATCACGAAGGCTACGCCCACTTCTTATACACAGTCTGGTTGTGCGTCATGACTTTTGTCTTAATAAACGGAGAGCGAGCTCCTCACCTGGAATTATCTTGATGGCGGTGTTGACTTCCTTCCAGTTCTCAGCGCGCTCAAACTTCCAGTCCAGGAGGAAGTTGCTGTTGTCGGTGACCACAGGACCCTGAGAGCCACAACGACACAAACTTCATCAAAACAATTAACTCCAACACCCAGAGGGCTGCGAGTAAAGTTCAGAAGACACAAGTGTGTTTATAACACCAAGTACTAAACGCACCACACAACTACAATCTTGTGATAAATGATCCATCGCAGCTTTTCTAAAACAAGTCACAGCAGAGTGACCACGACGAGTTAAACACAAGTGCTGACACGTCAGTTTACAATGAATCTAGAAACACACGTTTCATTTAAAACTGAATTTGACAAAGTCTCGATAATTATGATAAGCAGAACCGTGTGGCAAACTATGTGGCTTTTTGCAAATATTGAGTGACCATGTGCAACTATGAGGCAAATGTTGGTTTAGTAACACGTCTGTGATGATCAAGACTTCCTGCGTGAACAGACGTGTCCACTCATCAGCACATTGACTCGTCAGTCAAAAGGAAGAAACACGAGGAGCCAGAATAAGAAACGGACTCTCCCGTCGGGTGTTAATGTGAAAAGAACTGAAGTAAACCATGAACGGTCCACTCTGCACACTGTTGAGAGCAGGTACAGTGCAAGAGTCGTGTTTGTCACAATGCCGTGTGGAGTCTTCTTGTGCACTTCCAAATGGGTTGAATGCATTTCCTTCCACGTCAAACTATTTTTTAAAGTACTTCAAAACCATACATCGTGTACATCCATATCTACTAGCTTGCAGTCTTCTTCTTCACGACCTTTACTTGCACATTTCGGCACAATCCGTGCGTCACCAGCGTGCTCGTGTGGAGGTCTGTGCGTTACATTTGGATTGACACTGAAGCCATTTCAGCCAGTAATGTGGTCCAGAGCAGACAACAGTGAGCGAACATTCAATGTCTTGCCAACAGGACATTTAGGCTCTTCTAGTTTTAGTACATCACCACCACCCATCATTCTAACCCTGGACCATAGGACTCCAACGAGCCCCTGGAAAGAGCACCAGTGATCTAACAGGAATGTATGAAAACTCTGAAACATATCCAGGAGTAACAACACGCAAAGTAAACAGAAGAACACTTACTGCTTTACTGACAGCCATCCGCAGGGTGGCCTCCCCTCCGAAGAGCTTGGCTATGGTCCTGGAGACGGGAACGTACGCCATGGGGATCACCTCGATAGGAACTCCCTTCTTCCACTGCTGGCCCAGAGCCTTGGAGTCCTTCCTGGGAGACGAAGAGGAAGATAAGAACCACATCTGGCCACACGCTCATTCACCTGTACTTTATAAGAGTGTTTCCTTCTGCTGGATGAACGTGTTCATGCAATAGTTCATGTGAGAAGAGAGACTGAGGCACACTGTATAGAGCAGTGCTTCTCTACCTAAAACTAATGCATACAAATTCATGCATTTTCCCCCGTTGAGGGCCGGCAGAGACACTGTGTCTAGTAACTAAACGTCTCCCCTTGAGTTAAACTAGTAAACACAAACCTGTAGTCTGCAATGACGACGAAATGTTTAGCGCAGCCGGCTACAATCTTCTCCTGCGTCAGGCAGCCGCTGTGAGACAGAGAGGACGAGCGTGAGACAGAAATCAGAGACGCTGGTGAAGTTCTGCCGTCTGTGTGAAACCGTACTCACCCTCCACCTTTAATCAGCGTCAGATCTGCGTCCACTTCGTCCGCTCCGTCAATCGCCACATCCAGCTGTATGGGAGCCATGTGAACGTATTACAGCAGACATCAAAGCACAGGAAGCGTTTCTCTACCGCTCCACCATTCAGGCACAACTTCCCCAACGCTCCAAATCAAGCCGACAGTGTTGGAGGGCCAACATATTGTGGCCCTTCCTCGTTTGCGGGGCTTTCAGATTCATTTGTAACGAGCTTGTCATACCTCTGGGTGACTGTCCAGATCCGACAGCGTGAGGCCGTGCTGCAGAATCAGCTGACGGGCCTGTGGGAGGACAAGCAGACAGACGGGACCCAATGTGACGAACACAAGCAGCGTCACTATTTTCAACTTGTGCATTTATTATTGTAACAGAAGGCACGTTTGTAAAATATGATTAATGCACCTTCTCTTGCAAGTCACTCTGAATAAATGAGGATTGTGTGTGGTAATGAAGCCACAATGTTACAGTGCATGCTGTTGCCAAATACTGTGTACACAGCATATTACGCCACCGGGATGACAATAATGAGAAGTCACGCTGGTCTACAAGTGAGACCGATGATCTCAAACCGACCTGGAAGGAGGTGGGCACACACACGATGTTGAGCTTCTCCTGACGCACTCTCTCAGCTGGAACAAACAACACACACAAAGTTAGAAATGAAGGGATGGTGAATGTTTTTAAGTGGGGTTGTATGAGGTACTTATCCATAGTCCGTGTATTACCGACTGTAGATGGCTGTCGGCAGACAGGAGAGCAAAACAATGCACTGCTGTGGATAAGGGTTAGCCGCAAAACATAAATACCTAATCAATATCGGTCTAAGTGTTAAGTCAGAAATTTGTGTCTCACGTTAAGGTAAAGCAGTGAAAATGTGCTAAATATAGAGTACACTGCAACTGATTGAGTTTTTAGGTGAAGGGTTCTCGTCCACAGCAAAGCTTTGCTCCCGTACACCAACTCCTGTCTGCTTCTCCAAACTGGAGGCTGCTGACCACAAACTCCTGACCATCCTTTTCACTTTAATATTAAAATGACTGTGGCCAGGTCTAAAAGACATGAGTCACATGGTTAGGCGTTATATCTGAGACATCAGGTGCCTCGTAGATTACATCTAAAAGTGGTTTCACTCACCGAGTCTGTCCACAGCGTAGACGATGGTCGATCCGCTGCCGACTCCAACCACCTGGTTGTTCTGTGAGAGACAGAAAACAAAGCTCGGAGACACTAGTTTGACTGGAGGTGTTTTGAAATGAGGGACACAATAAGAGGAACAGAAGAGTTGGTATATAAAAGTGTGTTTATGTGTTAAAGCTTCAACACACATGTGCAAGTCTGAAATTACAGCCTCAAAAAACTTGCAGTTTCAACAAAACAAGATTAGGATTTCTCTTCTTTCTTCATATTGTAATTGTTATTTTGTCCACTTCTTGAAGCTGACATTTCATGAACCAAACTGTCCTTGTGTTAAATCCCTGCTCTATATAATCTATATATTTAATATTGATAAAGCCATGCATAATACACAAAACAGCAACATCTCTGCAGCTTCCGTTTCCCATTTCATGCACGTGTTAGCTCATCTATCTCTATTTGTCCATCACTTGAAACTACACTTACCGTCTTGCTAGCAGCTAACACGCACATGATGCAACATCCCGCTAGTATATTTAGTCCTTAATGCCACTATCCCGGGACAAGCAATGCATAACACCGAGCTAATTCCCTCCCAAACCGTGCTAGTTAGATAACAGCAATAAGTTAGCAAGCTAGGCTAACGGAACGTTCTATCTCTGTTCAGTGAATGCTAACTTTGCTAGCATGCTAGCATCTGGGTGTGTAGCAAAAACTACAAATGACTGAGCTGGTGTAGACTTCAAGCGTAGCAGGCTGCGGACACACGTGGACGACTTAGCCGACAGGGACACCGCTGTGTTGCGGTTCACTTTACCTGGACGTGGTTGTCCACTGCGGCGTAAGCGGCCAGTTTCTTCGCCTCCTCTGCCATGTTAGCGGCGGACTGAGTGAACGGACGCACTTGTTTCTGCCTCCGGGACGCTGGAGAGAGAAATCCAACTGCGCGTTTACTGAAGGAGACCCACCTCTTGAGTCTCATGACCCGGCCCACAGAGAGAGATAGGGACAGGGAGAGATAGGGACAGAGAGAGGGAGAGAGAGAGAGGAAGAGATAGGGACAGAGAGAGAGAGAGAGAGAGAGAGAGAGAGAGACAGGGGGACAGAGAGAGAGAGAGAGAGAGGGACAGAGAGAGAGACAGAGAGAGAGAGAGAGAGAG